GAACACTAGAATCTGGGCACGTAGAAACCCACACGCGATGATTCAAATATTTAATCAAGGCCGTTTCTCAATTAATGTGTGGAGAGGAATCATTGGGAACCATATTATCGGTCCAATTTTTTTTCATAACTCCTTAACCGGAACATGTTACCTTAATTTTCTTCACACGCGATTCATAACACAATTGAGACAAGTTATACCACATCATAGACGTCGTCAAATTTATTTTATGCATGATGATGCCCCACCGCATTTTATTAGACCGGTACGTGAGTTTTTATCAGAAATGTTTGGAAGTAGGTGGATAGGTCGTAGACCAGCACCTCATTTGTGGCCGCCTCGCTCTCCCGATCTTACACCTATGGATTTTTTCTTTTGGGGAGCAGTAAAGAATCTGGTTTACCGGTCAGGTCAACAAATTACAAGTATGGGGCAATTGAAATTGCGAATAAAAGACGCTTTTCGCCGTTTGGCGCAAACTGCCAATATTTACGAAAATGTTCGCAACAATTTAAAAGAAAGATTGAGGACGTGCCTACGCAATAATGGTGGACATATCGAAGCCGGTAATCAAGCACGATTGTTAAGGTGCATAAATGTCGATGGTTCTATACTGCGGCAAAGAAGAAACCGCTCAAGACGCAGAGGACAACCCTAGAAATGGTTAACCTCGTTTTCCAAGTGAAGAATTCACTCGCGACCTATGGTGCCTTAGAGACTTTTGTTTTATCGAGTGAGTACTATACGATGCAATAAAAAAAAATTTAACCTTGAAATTTTCCGTCAAAGTCAATTTTGCGACTTTTTTTTACAGATCTTCACCGATTAAAAGCTGTAGAATCAGCTAGTGAAGCCATGACAAAACATTTTGTTACATCCTGTACAGCAAATCGGCCAAAAAGAGATATGTAACATTTAAATGTTATTTACAAAACTATCAGCCTGAAATTGCACATACAAAGAAGCGGCAATTGAAAGGTGACCACAGACGCAAAGTTGCTAGTAAACTTATTGATGACAGAAAAGATGCTAGTGTGTGGAGAATAGAAGAAGCCAAACGATTGATGCAGTTTGGTGATCAAGTACCACCCATGCTTTATGATAGCTCTGTTTTACGTAAAGCAAAGCAGGAAGAATGGTACAAACAATTAAATATTAAAAGCAATGATCCATTGTTAAATCTAAGACTTGCCAAATACACTAGTCTTTTGGGAGTCATTCAATCTATAGAGTTAGATCCGTTCTATTGTATGTACTGGACAAAAGAACAACAGACAATGTACAAAATATGCAATAAACAATCACAATCTTATTTTGCTATTGACGCAACTGGGAGCATTGTAAAAAAAATAAGACGTCCCGAAGAACAGAAGTCTTCGCACATATTTTTATATCAATGCATATGTGCAAATGGGATGGAAAGCATCCCAATTTTTCAAATGATAAGTGCTAAACACGACGCTGCTTTAATCACATATTTCCTTTTAGAAATATTACCCAATGGTGCCTCGATACCACTAATTGCAGTTTGTGATTTTAGTAAAGCTCTTTTAATAGCGCTTTCTCGGACTTTTGCGAGATCAGCCGATCTCGCAGATTATATGCAAAAATGCTACAACATGCTGATTTTAAAAATATCACAATCTAAGCCTTCTTGCTATATTAGGTTGGATTTCAACCATGTAATAACCATGATAGCAAGATGGAATTGTCTCAGAGGAAAGCCTCCGAAAGTTAAACAGTTCTTCTTAAGAAGTCTAGCTCATGTTTGTCAAATGACATCTTTTGTAGAAGTACAAAATTTGTTAAAATCAGTTCTGATTGTAGCTTTGAGTCAAGAAACAGGACAAAAAGAAGATAACTCGCATTTAGATTCCGAAATCTACCTGAGACATGTAAATACAACAATAAAAGGACATACTGAAGTAGAGGACATATATAATGATGAAGGTGCAATGGAATTACAAATGGAAGAAGATGATTTATCTACCAGCTGGACAAATTGGACCGAGTCAATTGTAAACGAAGCAAACAACACTGCATCTAAATCACAAGATGGCAGCACAGTAAACGCATTCTATTTATCGGAGATTGTAAGTAATATAAAAGTATTATTAAAACATTTAACATTATGGACTGCCATCATGAAACCCATTTTTGCAATTGGCAAAAATACTGCTATTTCGTCCTGCGTAGAAGCCGAATTTGCAAATTTAAAATGTCGAATATTTTATGACCAACTGCCTATGCGAGCAAACAAATTTGTTTTACGACACATTCAATATCTACGTGGTAAAACAATTTTACTATCTGAAAAGGCTACCTGTGACGAAATTAAATCATCCTTTGCAGTTGAGAATGTTTCGGTAGAGAATGTCAAAGAAATGTTGTCAGCAGAGAATAAAATATTCTCTAACAACCTTTTGTGTGATGGTTCCGTTTGCACGCAGATTGCACAAGATCATAACAAAGCAATGGATTCTCCCGATTCGTGGAACGGAATAGAAAATTGGAAAGGATTAAATAAAATGGCAACACAAAAAATGAAGCTACTAATGTCACTATTACTAATGTTACCAGCGAACGTCTTGTTACAAAAAAGAAGGCAACTTATCTCGATGATTGTCCAGATTGGAATCATATGAATTCAGATTATATAGTCGGTATACCATTGATTAAGAATGGCAGCTTATGCAATTCTATATGCATCAATGGTATACATTTTCTAGTAAGAGAAACATGCGCATTTGATTCCATATTACAAGTCGTCATGTGTGTTCTTGCCTCTTACAATAACTATAAAAACACAATGGCAGAAACGGACAATTCCTTATTTATTTTAGCGCAAAGAATATTAACAAGCGGCAAGATCAGCACAAAGTATTATGTTTCGCGAGGACAAATCCTCTATGACATACCGATTTTTATTTGTGACAAGATCCAGTTCAATTAAAACAAAGGTCTGCCAGAAATGCAATCATTCCAATACCCGGAATTTAACATTGGTAAATATAGATGTTAATGTAATTTTGCAAAATGGCTTAAATTGCATATAACAGGCAGTGGAAAATCCAAATTTTGCACATGGAACTTGTCATTTATGTAAAGATAATACTACTGACAAAATTGAATATAATTCTCATATTTTAATAGATACCAGCATATTAACAGACGACATGTATTTGCAGACGATTAGTGCAGAAAAAAAAATATTTCCTTTGCGCAGTGGCGATATCGTAACCAATGAGGTTCTACCGAGGAGAGATGTTATATATACCCTCAAAGGTTATAGGTGCTAGATTAGAAGGCTATGGAACTGGATATTTGGTGCCTCTTGGGCCGATATCCAGAGGGAGAGTTATTTTCTTCCTATCCTCGCGAAATGATTGCGAAAACCTGTGCTCGTACGTTAAACGCGAAGTGGGTGGCGAGCGAGAATACATACCAATACACGGTGGCACAACATTCGACCCGGAACGGATGGCGGACGACTGCTGGTGCTTCTGCACCGATGTAGTCGGGCAAGCTGTGACAGTACCCGGGTGTGTTGCGGTAGTTGATTTCTTAGAGGAAATAAAACCAGTGTCACACATAGAATTTGACGGAGAACATCTACTATATACATATCGTTTAGCTAGGCGAGTCATAGGTAAGGCTACAAGTTTACAGCGAAAAGGGCGCACAGGAAGGACCAACAAAGGGTACTACATTACCCCTGTTGGCATCGAACCAGTATTAGACTATGAGGTTGATACGAGAACAGCTGCTGTGGCGCTGCTAGAGCTTGAAGCCAACCAAAGGTTGAAGTGGGATCAGATTAAACTGCACCACAATCGCCAACTTGTGGACACATTAGAGTCGCTACAGTGGCTTTTGCCTAAAAACTTGGGCATATCTTCTTGGTGGAGAAAGGTATTCTCTACTTTAAGCCGAGACAAAAGAGCTGTCTTGCATGAAGGAAAAACAATGGTTAGTGGGAGTCTGAAGCACAAATTGGACCACGTCCGAAATGTTAACGGAGACTTGAATCACAAAACGACACGCGTTTGCCAAGTGGAGTATGTTTAATTGACTCTTGTGTTTCATTCTTTGATGTTTGTCTTCTTCTGTTTAGTTGTCTTCTTTTTTTGTTTAGTTACTCATAATACACTCTATTTTGAAGTAAAATATAATTATGGTGTCAATAGTTGTTGTCATTTTGTATTAGGTTGGTGCGTATGAAATGTCGGATTTTTAGGTAAATATATAAAACCGCATATCTTTTTTTAAAAATTGTTTATTCAATCAAAATATGCGCCATTGGCTTCAATACACTTTTCCCAACGAGATTTTAATGCATAAATGCCTGTCTTAAAGAAATTCTGATCTTTACATTCGATAAATTCTGATACAGAATTTTTTATATTGTCTTCAGTTTCATATTTTTTGCCCCGTACAAACTGTTCTAAATGTTTAAAAAAATGAAAATCAGTGGGCGAGAGATCTGGCGAATAAGGTGGATGTTGCAAAATTTCATACTTTAATTCATTTAATTTCTGAATCGTTTTGTACGACGTATGTGGCCGAGCGTTGTCGTGGAGAAGTATCGGCCCATGCCGATTAATAAGTGATGGACGTAAAATTTTTAATTTCTCGTGCATTTCCTCAATGTACTGGCAATACTTGTCAGCTGTGATTGTCTCCCCAGTACGAAGGAATGAGTAATGAATTACCCCAGTGACATTCCACCAAACCGTAATCAAAATTTTTCGTGGATGAAGTGATGGTCTTGCGGCATGAGCACAAGCTTCATCCTTGTCCAGCCATCGTGCACACCTCTTCCTATTATCGTACAGAACCCATTTTTCATCACACGTAATAATTCGATCCAAAAATGGCTCTCGATTTAATCGGGTTAGCAACGATGAGCACACGTTCAACCGATTCAGCTTATGTCGCTCCGTGAGTTCGTGCGGTATCCACTTGTCCATTTTTTTCACCTTACCAATTTCATTCAGGTGTCGTAATATTGATGTATGGTCAACTTCCATTTTGGTGGCAAGTTCCCTTGTGGATACAGTTGGATCCGTTTCCACCAATGATTTTAACGTATCGTTGTTCACAGTCGTTTTGGGTCTACCGCGTGGCTTATTTTGTAAGGAAAAATCACCGGAAAAAAATTTTTCAAACCAACGCTGTACTTTACGGTCGTTAACGGTATTCTCCCCAAATGCCTGGTTTATATTGCGTGCAGCTTCTGCAGCATTATGAGCAAGTTTATACTCGTATAAAAAAATTACACGAATATCGGTTGAATCCATATCGGTGTAAAATTCAAAATAAATAACGAAAGGAAACACTTTTGACAAAATCTTCTTCGTTGAAATGTGGTTCTGAGAATGGAGAATACGACTATAAACAAGGTTATGCAAAACAAAAAAGCATAATGAAAACAGGGAGACAACTTTTCGCACCTAAAAAAAAACGACATTTCATATGCACCAACCTAATAATTTTGGATAAAATGGCCAGCCAAATACCAGAAGAGGTACACATCCGGCATTGCATGCTTTTTGAATTTCGCAAGGGAAGTAACGCAACAGTTGCTACCAAAAATATTTGTGATGTTTATCCGAATGCATTGGACATTCGTAAATGCCAAAGGTGGTTTTCCAAGTTCAAATCGGGTAATTTTGATCTTTGCAACTCGTACCGATCAGGAAGACCATCAACGTTGGACAACGACGTGTTAAGGGCGGAAGTGGAAGCAAATCCGTGTCAGACGATCGAAGAATTGTCAAAAAGTCTAAACCAACCTTGGTCGACCATCCAGGAACATTTGAAGCAGATTGGGAAAGTGAGCAGAGCAGGTGTTTGGATCCCGCATAATCTGTCCGAACAGAACAAGGCCAACCGATCAATCACATGCAACTTACTGCTCCAAAGACACAACATGGAACCGTTTTTTGATCGCTTGATCACAGGAGATGAGAAATGGGTCCTGTATGATAACCCAAAACGCAAAAGGCACTGGCTCTCTCCAAATGAAACGCCTCGGAGTACTGCTAAGCCAGGTTTACACTCCAAAAAAGCGCTTTTGTGTGTTTGGTGGAGTATCCGCGGCATTATTCATTTTGAATTACTGCAACCTGGACAGACTGTCAATGCAGACCTCTACAGCGAACAGTTGCAGCGAGTTAATCAATGTTTAATTGAAAAGTGGCCGGCGATTGTCAACCGAAAAGGCGTCATTCTCCAACATGACAATGCAAGACCACATTGCGCAAGGCGAACGATAGAAAAAATTAATGAATTGGGGTGGGAGGTGCTGCCTCATCCACCATATTCGCCCGATATTGCACCATCGGATTTCCATTTATTCCGATCGCTGCAACACTTTTTAAGTAGCAAAACATTTACAAATTTGGATGATATACAAAATGCCATGTCTACGTATTTTGCCGAAAAACCGATTAATTTTTATCGATCAGGGATTGAAAATTTACTGAATAGATGGCAAAAGGTTATTGAAAATGATGGAGATTATATTCTTGATTAAAAATAAAGACCCGTTAAAAATATGTAAGAGAAGACACGTCACACCTAGGAAGTGTCGGGATTTCTTTAATTAGGTTTCAAATTATGTGGCATTACCAACGGAGTACTGAATTACCGACGGGGAAAAACATACGAGAGGAGAAGGTTAAGAAGAGGAGAGAAGTGAAAACACGTGCTATGAAGACAACATCGAAATAAAGATTTAGAGTAAGAAAAAGGGGATAAAAGAAACATAACAGAGTAAAAGCTTTAGTTGTTGTTTTCTCATTATTTCAGGTAATGAATATAAACTTGTAAATATTGTAAATAACCTACCACTTAAATTCAATAAACCTCATTATTTCAGAGCAAACCCAATTGGTTTTAATCTCTACAAAAATTTTATATCAATCACTATAGTGATATAGAAGAGTAAGGAAAAAAAGAATATTACAAATATATGTGTTTGTATTTAGCGTAAGAAAACGACATTACTTTCCGGTCCCCCTAATATTTATATCTGACTCCACTCATCAGCAATGAGCTGGTCTTGCATACCCGATCATTAGAGAGCAAGAGACGAACAGCGAGTATTAAGGACGATGACTTGTGGTACACTCGCTACTTTGACTACGATGAGGGCCTGATGGCGTTTCGTCACAGATTCTCCCAGCACGATCGAGTATTGCAGCAGTTCAAAGGGCAATTTCGCCCACTGTTTTCGACAATGGGAATGATGAACCATCATTCGAGATGCACACCAGGCAGGCACGAGAACATGCTGTTCGAGACAACGTGCAGACAGAAGTTCGACCTTCAACTTCAGCAGGCGGAAGAACCACCGAGTGGATGGACAGATCTTCTGTACCCGTGAGTTCTACACCTTTACATAATGTAACGGACAATGTAGATCCCACTATGCGTTTAGTGGACGCGATCGAAAGTACCTTGCGATCGGTTAGAAAGGCGTCTACGTTTAATTTAGGAAACTCGTGTTTGATAAGTCGATTAACCACTGCGAGAAGTCTCCCGACATTTTCCGGAAATCCGTTAGAATGGTTTCACTTTAAACAAGCGTATGATCTCTCTTCGGAAACCGCCGGTTATAGCGATAGAGAAAATATCACGCGATTATTCGAAGCGTTACAGGGCGATGCGCGCGCGAAAGTTCTACTAGCGACGAGTACAGACGCGAAATTGGTTATGGAGGTATTAGAATTGCATTATGGAAATAATAAAGTTGTAGCTGAGAAGATCGCGAATGATCTAAAAACTATGCCAGAAATAGGCTCGGGTAGGATCAGTATTACGCAGTTCGCGAGCAATCTTCGAAACGCTGTCGCTGCATTCAAGTCGTTTAAAGTAAGGGGATATTTAATTAGCCCGGAATTGGTTAAAAGTGTTAGCAGCAAGTTACCCTCCGCATTAAAGTATGCGTATAATAAATATGCTTCGGAAGCGAATGAGGAATTATCAGACTTGGAAAAACTTGCGGATTTTCTATATCGAGAAGCCGAACTAGAATTAAAGGCCGGTGTATTCGTCTCCGAAACGTCTATAGTAACGACGCGTCAGAAACTCGAAAAAGGTAAAAGGAGCGCGCGAACGCTTGTTTCGGGTGCCGCGTATACAGCAGGGAATGAACAATCAGCTGTTTCGAAGATGAATAATCCGGATTCGCGTTGCGTTTTCTGCAATAGATTTAATCACCGTTTATCTGAATGTAGTGTGGGAATGAGAGAATGACTGAGGGAATAACGCTGTCAGTGACCGACTGAGAGAGAATGATGAGAGAATGACTGAGAGAATGACGCTGTCAGTGACCGACTGACCGAATGTCGGTAATTGATCATCGATAATAAATGTTAATCGTCGGTAATAACATTGTAAATTATTATAAGTTATCGACAGTTCAAAACGTTGTAAGCGAGCGGGCTTGATGTGTGTTTTTTTAAAAAGAAAGGAGCGTTGTTGATTAGAGACCGGGTCGTGAGAGTAGACGTATGAGGAAAAAAGGCGTAAAAAAGTCGGGAAAAAGTCGTGAAAGTTATTAAAAGATTGTAAAGTCGTTTTACTTTAAAAGTTCTTTGTGTTTTGCTAAATAAAGTTTCAGTTAAGTTTTGTTCGTTAATATTTGTGTTAAAGTTTTGTTTTCCCTTGTTACATAATAAAAAGAATTTTCTTTTGCACAAAACCAAAACAAAACGGTGCAAAACCATTTTATCATCATAATTCCTACAGTAGGGTTTTTTTAAAGGCTACGATAGATCGTCGATGGTTTATTACGCGGACTTTAAAATTGTGTCGCAAGTGTCTATGTCAGGGACATTTTCAGAATGTCTGTAATGCAGATAACTGCAACATATGTAATTCGAGGCATCACCGACTTCTGCATTCCGAGAAGGGTAGATTGGGCCGGCAATCTTGAACGCAGGGGAAAGGGAAAAATTCGGAGCCAAGTGCTACACGTACTAGTAATATGTCGATCGCGACCGAAAACCGCGACAAAAACATATGACCTAACTCATTTAATGCTTTATTAAAAATAATGCCGATTCGCGTAATAGGACCCGAAAATCATACGGATATATTCGCTTTGCTCGATGAAGGCTCGACTATTTCTTTGATTGATAACAAAGTTTCACAATTTATTGGGGCACGTGGCCCGACAATTGATGTCACTTTGAAGGGAATAGGGGGTCAAGAAAAGATAATGTCGCAGTCCATCCAAGTAGATTTCGATATCGTCGGGCAAGGGGAAAAATTTAGGATAAAAAACTCCTGGAATTCCTGGAATTGAGCAATGTCGCGACGCGCTCGGGCCTTTCCTGGAATTCTACCCTTATCTACCATAGCGGCTTTCCTCCTAGACCAGCCTGAAGGTCCCGGAGAACCGTCAAGTGGTTCTAATATATCTTGTAAGATACGCCAAGCGGTTCTCCGTCCACTGTCTCTAATTACCGGAGATTTTCGACATCTCCTACTGTGGGACTACCAGCCTCAGGGCGATACATACAGTACCTTCCCTAGCCGTTGGCCTGACCGGCCCCAGGTTTGCCGAAGCACCCCTGTGCACGTAAGGAGATCGCCAGCTAGGCATCGTTTCTAAGAAGTTTACTAATCCTATCTCGCTCACTCTTACTTCGCTCTTCGATACAAAATAAACTTAACGCTACATTCGCTTTACAATATAATATTCGCAATTCGCAATATTTCGCACAACGAATAACCATGGTTATTTTACATTCACTCACACATAACCCATACTTATACAATTTTCACTTAAAAACTAAATAAACTAAATAATCTACGATAAGTCTTTAACAATTTCAATTAGGCGACATATAAAAAATAATAAACATTAATAGTTCCAATTATCGACTAGTAGGTGTAGTAATCATGCTTAATATATTGGGAGTACAAATTAGTTCGGTCCGTCTTGAAATGGTGTCTCTGTCTGTTATGAATGTTCCATGGTAACAGCTAATTTCAATTGTTTCAAAGAGGTTAGACATTTGTCAATAATATTCAGTTTATATCGTTTTGAGTTTCATACAAAAACCTTACAATATTCAGTTTATATCGTTTTGAGTTTCATACAAAAACCTTATTTTTTACTGTGTTGAATATGGCAAACTTTGTTTTAACTAAGCAGCATTTGCAGGAGGTGTTAGTGTTTTGCTTTAATTGGAAGAAAAGTGCAGTTGAAGCGCATCGAATGCTGGTAGAAGTTTATGGTGACAGTGCTCCAACTGATAAATCATGTAGGGAATGGTTTCGACGT